GTTTGTTTTAGGAGTTGAATGACAAGAAGTTTTTCCAGCCGAACATTGCTCCACTTTGTTGCCAGAAATTGAACAGATAAGCTTGTCAGCACTTGTGTGAGGTGGCAGAAGAAGAGTTTGAACATAGACTTCAAACATTAACATACATGAAAAGAGAACAATAGACGGGAGCAAACCTATTGGCAACAAAAGAAAAAATATATACTTGTCTTCTTTATTTAATAATAGGCAGGTGTAGTGTTTCCATTTTTCTGCTATATAATCTTGTCATTTAGACTCATCTGTGATTTTATGCTTGCAATGTTTTTATGTAATAAGAGCATTGACGTCTCAAAAAATGTTAAAAAGTCAATTTGGGAGAGTCCTAATGGTTTTGAAATGACAAAGTCAAAGAAAAGTGGCTGTGGTGATTCTTCAATCAGTGAAGACTTCATTTCAGTGCAAAGGGAACATGAGACCAGTGACTAAAAGTAAGTTAAACAACGAATATATTCTGAAGGATATGGATCTTTTCCTTTACTGAGATTTTGAAAAGGCTGCCAACATTTCCAGATCCAGGGGAGCTCCCCATCCTGCCTTCCTATTATCTGCTCAACATTTTGCTCTTTCACTCTCAGTCTGAATAAACCTCCATGTGTCTCAGCATGTAAACCAAATAGCAACTTTTGAAGCAGCTTGTTACATCCTTGTGTTTCTACTATGCTGAAACAGCAAACGTTGAGTCGTCTTCACTCAGAAATACCTTCCACATTTAGGAAGGTTATTGTTAACAGGGTCTGGTAGAAGTTACTATAATGTTTTCACTATGAGAAAAGGTCCGATCTCTGAGTTTCTGACTGGCCAGTCGTCTGTCAGTCCCCATCAAGCTGAAATGCTGCTTTTGTTTTGACAGAGTCCAAGTTGACTGAGAACATTCTCATCACACCCCATTAACTTATGATATCTTGAGAAATGCCTGAATCGCAAGTGGTAGCCAGGCAGTACACAATCTCAAACCACAGAAAGTGTTTCTATAAGGATCACAGAAGTCAGAAACGGCTGCAGTACATGTTCATACATCTATTCTGTCAAATGTTAGTATTAATAGGCGGCAGAGATGTTTTAACAGCTGCAAACTCTCTTTACACACTTTAACTCATGTTTTGCTACAATATTTTATTAGATCAAAGTTTGTCATGGGTTGTAATGTGCATAGCTAAACTCATCTCCCTCAGACAGCTGTGCTCCAGCTTCAAACTTCAGACTTGCAGAACAAGCAGCACATCAGCAAGTCAAAGACTTTAAATGTCAAAACTGGGCTGTAGTAAAAATTCAGACCAAGGCATGTGCTGATAATGAGGATAGTGCTGTCTCGTTAATGTTGTAACAAATGGTTAGGGGTATTCCCATGACCACATAACAGCGCAGATGGTTTAACTCCAACAACATGTGCTGCAAAACCACAGTATTCACATTACATAGGGATGGAAAAGTTGTCCAATGTCCATTATTCTGCTCATATAAAATGAAAAATAATACAGAAATCGTGTGCATGAAATAATTGGCAAAATTATGAATCACTCGTTAAAAAGGTTTCTGGCAACAAAATTTCAGCATAGCTGTGGTGATGTACGGAAACAGCAAAACTTCACAGCTCTCATGTATCATCTGTGTGAAAATATGATCTGTGCAGCTTGGTTGGTGCTTGTGGTTGGACAACATGATCCTCAGTTGATTGAGCAGCTTGACACTCTTTATAGTAGCTTATATGAAAGAGCCACAGTAAATGTAGAATCTGCTTTTAAGATTTATAAGCTGAGATTTAGAAATGTCAGTGAAGGTGGTGTCAGGGACGAGTTTTTAACAAGGTCTGACAGTCTGCTCACAGATTTAGCTTCAGTACCACTTGGATCTTTGTAATGTTCTTAATGCTCGTTTACTGCTGTTGTTCTGCTTCACTTTTATTTGGATTTTGGGTTCTTGAATCAAGAATTTATCCCATCCAGCCAATCTACTGACTGGATATATGTCAAGTATTAATAGAAAGATAGTTGTTAATGGAAAACTATTGACTTCAAAGTGATCATGGATTCCTCTATGCTGTTCTGAGCCAGTGGGCAGAAATGAAGTAATGAATGTACGTAGGGAGATTGAATGAGTTCTTCAGTAAAAGGGCACACCCATAATCAGATGAAAACCCATAGCTTACGCAGTAGAGAGCTGTTCATATTGCTGACTTGTTTCAAATTAGTAAGCAGATCATGTAACTCCAAAGAAAAATGGGAAACAGAATTTTGTTTGATTACATAAACGGCACAAAATTCAGAAACAATTTAGTGAAAAGTAATAAAACAGAAAACCCACAAAGTCTCAGATCTCTTTTTTTTTTCTTGAGAAATGACAGACTTTCTGCTTTTCCAGAATTCATTCAAAACCCAACTTACTTAGCTAGCTACATGTAGTAAAATGCTTTAGATTACATAAAACAAGTACAGCCTATTTACCACAACATGCCAGCAAAACAATTGAACTAATTAAGGTCATTGGTGTTGAGGTCATATGAGTCACTTTCCATTGAACATTGAAGTGGATGGATGAACAGCTCAGCTGACAAACATTTATTCACAAACAGCAAAAACTATTTTTATTATAATAAACAGCCATATTAGAGAGGAAGACACCAGAAACCCTCCTGCCCCACTCAGGGACAAGGGGGTAAAGAAAGTGGATGGATGGATATTAGAGAGGAAGACAACAATATATGTAAAATATGTAACAGGTTAATTTGAATCTCTAGTTTTTGTACCAGTTTACATAAACGTTCATGTCAAACACAGACATTCATTACAGGAAGTTAGAAAAGTAGACATTTAAAAATTACCATCAGAAACTTCTTCAAACACTCTTCTTCATCCTCTATTTCCAGTCCAGGAAACTGAAAGCACTATTGCTCCACACTGAGTTCTTTATTAAATGTTCTTTAGGTATATTTGCAGTAAATAGGGAAAATATATAGCATTTGAGGAATGTTGAACTTTTATAGTTCTACATAAAGAGCTAAAATACAATTAGATGCTGTTGAACCTCCTTCACTGTAGTTGTTCAGATTATTGGAAGGAGAATGTTTGAGCAGCAGTCTGATGAATGCTGCTGATGGTTTCTGTGTGCTGTTAATGCTGCTTCAGGGTGTGGCTGCCTGCAGGCTCTGAGCTCAGCTTCACACTATTTGATCACCAAATACATCATCCATTCATTTCCAGCACACACATGCACACACATGCACACACCATTCGCCTTGTGCTTATGTGTGAGCTCAGCACACTATGCATGTCCTTTGAACAAAATTATGTATTTTATTTTTTTATTCATGCAGCTTTGACTGCAGTTTATTACTGTGATGAAACTGTTGGTTTTCTGCCAATTGGCTTGCATAATAATAGTGAAGTTTCACCTTCTCTGCAGACCTACGTCAACGTTTTATTCAAATGAAACCCTTAGTTTCCAAAACTTTTCTGCCTCAAACATCATTCAACATTAAATGATTATCTTATGATTAGATGATTTATTAGGAATTACGATACTTTTGACAGATATTAGTAGTTTACTTGTACCCTTTTATTAAAAACAATAAATAAGTTGATTTAAATCTCAAACTGTATTTTAAAGAACCTCTGTTCAGTGCAGAATTATCCAGTTCAGTTTTGGTCACTCTGTGTTTTAGATTTGAAGTAATGGTGCCCAGTTCTAATCCAGATTGCTTAAAAGCACAGAAGGCCTTTTATTCTGGTTCAATAGGAAGTTTTGAAGCTGATACCAACTCTGGCATCCATAACAGCTTGTGGTAAGCCAGTCCATTATGAGCAAAGAAGAATGACACTGAATGATCCTCTGCCATTAACATGCAATAAATCGTTAACCAAATCCACAACCTAATGGAAGATTTAGCTGTTATTTAGCTCAATAGTTGGACAAGTTTATAAGGAATGTTTTTAGTCAGATTTTCTTCTGTTTCCTTCTGACTTCAGAATTGTAAATAATAAATCCAAAGCTGTTGATTCCATCTGTAGCTGTTAGATGGATTATAAACGATCAAAGTGACTTTTTTGAAGAACCTTTTTCACTTTTCATCAGTGACATATTTTTTTTCCACGTCTTGCTGTGGCCAATGGATTAGGCATCAGCTTAACTGGACGGTTTGCTGAGAGGCCTCCCTACCAGCTGTCCAGTTGCCCCTCTGCCAGCTAACATCTCGATCTGCCCCCGAAGCGCCGCGCCCGGTTCCACAGGCAGCTGTAAACTAAAGCAGACATTCAGTACATCAGCCAAAACCTGGGACTCAGTCTTCCTTCCTGCTCGCTTGTATGATGACAACCTGCTGGAGATGACGATGTGCATCGGCTGCAGATTTCTCTTACTGTACCAATGCACTGACTTTACACTGCAGGACACATGAATACATTTGGGTGGATTTTCAGCTTTAAATTGTAGTGCAGTTCATTACAGTATTGTTTGCTTGGCAGTGGATTCAATTTGTGGGATTTTATATTATATTGTAAATAGAAGTTCCAGAGCGCACTCTGCTGGCTTAAATGTTAATCTGTAATTGTCAAGAAAAACACTTTCAGTATTAAGTACCTGCTTGCTGTTTGGTCTTCAGAGATGTGGGTGGTTTCATGTTGGTCATGCAGGGTGGTTTTTATCGAGACATGATGCGTTTGTATTGAAACGCCGCCACAAACATGTCCGTCTCTGCCCGGTAATGAATGAATGAGTGAATGAAACATTGTTCATCTCCTCCGGCTGGAAAAAAAGAGAGACAAAATGCAGCAACAGAGAAAAAGAGAAGCTCTGTTTAACTAAAAATAGCACTGGAATGAACTCGTACAGAGACAGTTTCTCTTGTTGATGTTTGCTTGACAGCGTTGTAAGCTAAACTATGTCTTTCTTGGAAAGGAAATACACTAAATTCAGATATTCTCTCCTCCCTTCTTATGTCTCTCTCTCATCCTTTTCCTTTGCAGAGCGACCGGCTTTTGATCAAAGGTGGGAGGATTGTGAATGATGACCAGTCCTTCCATGCTGACATCTACATGGAAGATGGCCTTATTAAGTAAGTCCCTGCATTTATTGTCCATTTACCTTCATCTTCCTATTCAGGTTTGATTTTATTTTTTACATTTAAATTACATGTTTCCTGTCCTTTCCATTTTCCTTCCTTTGTATGAGAATAGGGAGGTTTAACTATATCATAATATTTGAGAATATTTTAGAAAAATGTAAATTTTCAGTTCTAATGGGAAACACAAGAGTACATACCATCTAAGTAAAGTAGATGGTAAGTTGGTATAGTTGTCTAAAATACTTTGAATTCTTCCTGTAAATTTAACAAACAAGGTGAGATAAATTCTCAAACTTATTTTGTTATTCTGCAAAGCAGGAAGATGATTAAGGTGGTAAAAGAGAGCAAAACATGGCAGCTCTTTTTATTTTTGTGTGCCTCAGTACTATTGAATTTTATACTATCAATAAAATTTAGAAACCTTCAGTTTTGACAAGAGAAGAAGATAGTTGGACAAAGATCTTTTAGTCTTGTGTTTTTGTACAATGTAAAATTTTTGCCCCTTTTGCCCCTGAGTGAGGCAGTTAGAAACACTTAGAAAGCCTGGTGTTGCATAATAAACTGCCGGTTGCCTCTAGCACCAGTTAGCTGCTGGCAAGGACACCCTGGCTTCTGCCTCATGTCTGTCTGTCTGTCTCGTCTGTAAAGTCTGAACCACAGCGGCTTTTCAAAAGCTGCTTTCATAAAATGCTGACACAGAAAAAAGGTGCTACTCTGAAATCAGTCTACTTTCCTTTGGGTTGATTTATAGAATTTAGTTTTATTATTTTCTCCAGTCATTTCTTTTATCGAATGACAGTTTTAGTTATGGAGTTGATAGTAAACGTTAAGAATGTTAAATATGGTGAAGAAGCGCCACTCCTTTGTGCCTTTAACACGTCCTCTTCACAGGCAGATTGGGGACAACCTGATTGTCCCAGGAGGAGTTAAAACCATCGAGGCCAACGGAAAGATGGTGATCCCCGGAGGCATCGATATCCACACCCATTTCCAGATGCCGTATCGTGGAACCACAACTGTGGACGACTTTGCACAAGGATCTAAAGCTGCTCTTGCTGGTGGCACAACCATGATCGGTGAGAGTTTTAGGAAAAGCCATCCACACGCTGATGACAGGCAAAGCCTTAATTATTATTCACAGAGAGTGAAGCCAGAAAAGAGGTTATGGTGTGGGTGAGGGAGCCCAAACAGAAGACAAGAGAAAAGGGAGGGATAGGGGAACGCTGGGCAACTCTCCAAAAAAAAAAAAAAAAAAAAAAAAAAAAAAAAA